AAATGAGGGGTGTATAGCTGCGTGACGGGTTCGTTATAGGAGGAGGGGGGAGAGGCGGTCAAAAAATCGGAAAAGGAGCAATGAGTAATAATTGAACGGCCAATTTTATTGTTACACGGTAACAATTACATGCCTGGTTTAACAATTCAATTAATGAAAAAAGTGACTGCAATGTTTCCACGTAGATTTCACAACAAAAATGCTACTTTAACGACTGTATTAAGTTAATTCAATTACGGGGGTGGTTAGAGAAGCATTTTTTGTTGTAAAATCTACCTTTAACATTGCAGTCACTTTGTTTTAGCAATGGACCACTAGACAAGGTACGAATTTCAGCATTCTGATACATGCTTCTTAACCAAAATTTCACGTAGAACCCGATGCGCACAGCGAAAATTACCAAAATCAACTCCTGACGAAGATATTTAATGATTCTTGATGCGTGAATTCAAACCACCCGCTCGTGAAAACTCAATGCTCTACGTGATTCACATCGAACGCTGAACGTTATCATGACAGTCTCTGCGCTGAGTGCGATATACAAATCTGGCAACCTCAATCATGACGCTTTGGCTCAGCTATAGCAAATTGCTTATAGTTTGAACAACACATGGTGGGAAATGAACATGGCTCGATTGAGAAGCTTGCTGAAACCGTTATAGTTTGACTCAGGTGGAGCTTTGAGCTTCTTGTGAGCGGGCAGATCAAATTCCTCGTAACCAATGTGAAATAAAAACGTTAATATCTTCGTTAGGAGATGATTTCAGTAATTTCCCTTGCGCGAATCGTGTTTTACGTGAAATTCTGGTTAAGAGACATGTATCAGAATGCTTAAATTCGTACCTTGTCTAGTGATCCATTGCATTATTAAATCAGCAATTTAATTTTTTCCGGGTAACAGTAGCGCCGTAAACACGCATCGTTTTCCTTGCTTTGTTTTGTTCCTCTAGTAAGTTGGTTTCGTTTGCTTTAATGTTGCGATGCTCCAAGGGCTCCGTGAGCAATCCCGCCAAAAATAGGAGCGACGTAATCGGGACTCGTTTTTTAACTTCGATCCCGAATATGAGCGACACCTTATCGTCATCATTGAGCGCACTGTGCGCCGCCTTGCCAATTCGTCGTGGAGGAGGAGGCCCATCTGGCCGGAAACGAAACAAGGCGTCTTGAGTCCCTCTTCGGGAACAGTTATTGTGGATTTTCAGCTTTTATGCAATGCATTCTGGGTACGATTGACAAACGTCAAAGTTAAACCCTAAGTAGAATTATTTAGGGAAAATGGAAATTTTATATAGTCCGTATACACAAATCATTGAGGAATTTTCGTGCCGAAAATTATCTTCCTAAGTCTTAGAACAATATCAGAAGTACCGTTTCCAATTCACCATCGATGTTGGGACATTGAAAACTTTTTTTGTTTTTTTTTTCCTGCTGGTTTAATGGCTTTGTGCCTAGCACCTTCAGCCAACTTTAGACTATGTTTACTGTCCGTAGACATCGTAGGATTTCCATGCTCCAGGTTTTTCCAATTTTCAGGGATTAGGGCCGAGGAGAATCTATTTCAGCAGATCTACTCGTCAATTCCGTGAAAATTAGACGCCACCACCGGGATTCGAACCCAGGACCTAGTGACCTAGAGTCAGACGCGCTGACCACTAGGCCAACCTGGCCGGCCGTTGAAAGCACTTGCAAAATAGAGACAGTACTTTTGACTTCATTTAAGATTCTGGAAAATGATTCTCGTTGCGTGACTTTACGTGAAAGTGTAATGAGGACTTGTGTATCAGAATGCTAAATTTCGCATACCGTGTCTGCTGGTCCACTGCATGAAAAAAGAAACACCCATGAGCTCAACGGAGAATTTTCAATTTGTCTGAAGAAAAGAGGCGTTCGAATGTTCTTATGACGTTGACTCCAGTGGGAATTCTTGAAAGTTAGCGATACTAAAGTGTATAGTGACACTAAGTGTTCCTCCATTTAAGTGTAAGTAAAACAATCGATTCTTGGTGAGGTAGTATTCCTCACCTAAAATCGACATTATTAATGCATTTAAATGGAGGAACAACAGTGTTGCCAAATTGCAAAATTGCCATTATCAGTAATTTGTAATTCATGCATTTTTGAAAAGTGAATAAGAGTGCACTTGGTATATATGAGCTTCCCCCGATTTTATTTAACTATGCTATACATCACGAAAAATTTGCATATCCTGGGGTTCCAATAAAGCGCGCCAAGAAAGCTAAGATGGCGTCTGAAAATATCCTTCCTGTTGCAAGTATTTTATAGACCATGCAATCTCTCTGTCGCGATTTATGGCCTGTGCAGCCAATATCGCAATGTCCGACAGCAAGGACCATAAACACAGCAGAGAGGTGCTGCGGTCTGAAGTGTGTCTACAACTGGACGGGTACTTTCGGACGCCATCTTGGCTTTCTCGACGATGCTCGTTTTAACGATAGCTCAAAATACGCAACTTTGAATTTGCTTTTCTTGAGTCCGCAAAAAATCTTCAATTTTCAAAAATGGAAAATTAAAAAAATTACCGAGCAAGCTCATTGAGGCCACACACGAACGAGCGGGAAAAGTGTGCGTGGTCACTTGAATCGTTCGATAAGCGCAGCAAATAATCGACTTTTGTTCAACAGCACTCGAAAATCACTCCAAATATTGACGCTATTAAACCTCTCGTGTAGAGAGCACGTCGCCTTCAATTTCTTCGTGAAGGTTGCGAAATGCACTGAAGGATTGAACGCGTGCAGACAAAAACGTACGGAGAGAGTGGTGATCGTTATATTATACATACGCTTTTCGAAGTGTCTAATTTTAAAAATACGATAAATTAAATACAAAAATATGCGAAATGAAAACAACCTCCACTGCTCCAGGGGATAAAGGGGGGGGGGGGTGCCAAGCCCGGGGGGAGGGATGATGGAGAGGAAGAGAAGTTCTTGCCAAGGATTGCGATGAAACCGCGCCACACAGTGGTCCACAGCTTTCAGTTATGGACTGCGTTTTACAATAAGGAACTAACATTAGCTCATACATACACATAGTCAACAGGTCACGGATTTTTTAGGGCCCAAGAAGGCAGCCAATCTATGAACTCAAACTGCCTACAATGATTAACTATTACAATGTTTACGACCCGTCAATCGCAAAGCACGTGCTTGACTTAGTTTTAGCATAAATTCACTAATTTTAGCGGAAGGACGCTCATTTATAAACATTCTTGGCCATTTTGATATTGGATAATCAGAAGATAGGCAGCGACATAGAGTTTTTCGTGTTAGAAGGTTGGCTGCTGAATTGGGGCCGAAGAGCTTCATATTCCGACGTTTTCACAATCTCTCCTACAGGTACTCTACACTGGAAAAAAAATCTCGGTGTATTTATCAAGAAAAGGGTAAAATTACTAAGAATTCAGGGTTCTATTTGATCCCAGAATTACCATTTATGGAATTGGTAATTTTATCGAGAAATCTCTGTAAAATTATTGACTTTCTCGGTTATTTAACTGATCCCCGGCAAAAACGCCAATATTTTTTATCGACTGTGGTAGAATTACCGAGATAAAATGGCAAAGTTACCGGGAATTGATTACCGATAAAAGTGGTATTCTAACCTGAAAAAAACAGTAAAAATACCGGTTTTTTAGGTAAGCTTACCAGTCTACCTTGGTAAAATTACCAATAATTGGTAAAAAAGTGAGATGGTAAAGGTACCAACGGACCTTGGTAAAAACGCCGAGAATTTTTTTTCAGTGTAGCATAGAAACTACACCAGGGTGTCTACCAGTTATGAAAAACCAAAATTGGGGACTTTCAAGGGTGTTTTTTCAAGAAAATCGGGGACTTACTTCCCCGAAATAGTAAATGAAAGGGAGCTAGTTAGAGCGTTAAAAGGCGTATTTTATACGAATAATTTTACAGGTCATATTGAACCGATGGAAACAGATGAAAAATCAAGCAACACTTCGTTTTTTTATTCCTGGTTATACCGCGGCTGGCGGGAAAATTTGAAAATGCCGGTGCTTAGGACGATTTTTGTCATTTTTTGGGGACCTGAATAAGAAAATTGGAGACTTTCGGGGATATCGGGGACACCCTTTCAAAATCGAGGAAAATCGGGGGACATTGGGGACTTTTGGGGACCGACAAACACCCTGGCTAACCTACCGAGATGGACAAAAGAAACGCTCGATAGACCGTAACTTTTCAAAAAATTGAGAGAAAATGTTCCAGGTTGGACTGTTGTCCTGATCAAGAGGGAAGTTAAATTTTTTTTGGAGGGGGGATAGAGAAACGACCCCATGACATCCTGGGGGACTAGGGAGCCCCCCCCCTCCAAGATA